AGGACTCGAGTAAGCCTTCAAGAGGACGCGACACTGCAACTCTCAGGCAGAAGAGGCTAGGTCCTCCTTAGGCGCAATTAGCACCTCATTTTTTTAAAGTAGGCTTCACACCCAGCGTGGGGCTTGAACTCATGACCCTGAGATCAAGACCTGAGCTGAGATCGAGTTGGATGTTCAACTGACTGAGCCACCCAGGCGCCCCGTCACCTTGATTTTCCGATCACAAAACCTGCCAAAGTTTTGGGAGACCCAACTTGTGCGGGCTCTGCAAATGAATCCCAGACTGGTGCAAGTCTAGACACCATTATCACAAAGTGGTTGGGCTTTCCAGACCCAGGTTCAGTCCTGGAGGGGTGGAGAGGGCAGGGTCAGGACAGAACCAGCTCTGTAATTTATGGGGCCCAGTGGAATATGAAGATTTTGCCCCTAGTTAAAAAATCATTACAAATTCCAAGATGACAACAGCAGAGTACGGGGCCATTAAGAGCATGGGGCCCTTTGTGACTGAGTAGCTCGTATGCCTACAAAGCTGGTACTGGGTTAGTTCTAGTTGGGCTCCAGAGGCCAAAAGGTCTCAGTTGGCAGAGGGTAACGTCTAGACAGGGATCAAATGCTTCGGTAGAAAAACAGGTGAGAGAGCCAAGCTGAATGAAGCACAGAATTGGCCTTAACCTCCAGCAAGATGCCGGGGCAAGGGGAAGGGGCAGAGCAAAGCCGAGCAAGAGTGGGCCTTCAGGGGCTACAGCCAGGCTAGGGGTAAGGATGGGCCTGCTGGTCAGCCTAAAGCCCAGGGATGCTAGGGGAGCTGGCAGGGAGGGCCCTGTAAGCCAAGCTAGAGCCACTGTGGGGCTGATGTACAGCCCAGCGCGGGCCGCCCCCCGAAAAGGCAGGACCCCCTTCAAAGTGGATGGAGAATCCTGCCAGAAGCAACGTAGCAGCCCAAACTCTCTCAAGCAAGCAGTATGAACAGAGTTTGATAACAAGACAGCGGGCAGGGAGTCTGTGTGCTCCTGGAGAACTGAGGCCCCCAGGAAGCTGAGGACCAGACATGCATATGACAGAAGCTTCAATCTGTCCTTTCATCTCTTCTGCCTCTATGCTTTTATATTTTCTTTTATTTTCCTTTAATGTCTCAGTAAAGTTCCTTTAAAAAAGTCTAACCCAGCTCCTCTGTGCTGAGTGAAAAGGGGCAAGGAGAGGACAGAAAAGTTGGGTCAGTGGATGAGGGGTGATGGCAGCCGTCAGTCTACTTGGAGATCTGACTGACGTTGTCACTAAGCTTTTACACCGGAACTGATGGGGTGGCTGCCGCCAGCTTACTTCCAAGAGAAGTGGCCCCTTATTTCACCTCAGCCCCAAGGGGTCATGGGAATCTTGGGCCCTACTGAAATGCACAGGCTGTGTGGGCCCAAGGCTGAGAAGTAGGGACCCTTCTCAAGGAGCCCCTTGCAAGCTGGGATCCTTTCCTCTCCTGGCTCCCCAAGTCACTGGCCAGTAGAACCCAAGCCCTCCCTGGAAAGAACTGCAAATATCTTATTGGGCACAGATAAGGAAGCTGAAGAACAGAGAAGGGCAGAAACTGCCCTGATCACATAGTCTCTCAATGCTGGAGCTGGACTTCAAGTCCCTTTGTGCCCTGTGCCACCAAGAGGGAAGCCAGAGAAAGGAGCAGGACCTCTGTCTCAGACCCCAGTGACTAATGAGGGAAGGCTGCCATGGGGCGGGGGTGCTCACTCAGTGGACGGACAGCAAAAGGCAGCTTCTCCCATCAACAGTGCCAGACGACGGAATCTTGGCCAGACAGCCATTTGCTAAATTTGGATCAGAGGACTGTCTCTGGTTAACCCTTCCACGTCTAAGCAACTGGGAGCAGGATGTTCTCTGTTCTTCATTCCTTCTGAAAAAGCTAGAGCCTTGTTTTAGTGGACTAGGATGGGAGGAGGGTTTTCCTTGGCTACATCGGGCCTCGGAGGTCAGGGAAGTGGAGTGGTGGCAGCTGTGGCTCCCCAAGGGTCACTTTGTACAGGTCACAGGTCCAGAATGAAAGCAGGCAGAGGACAGACTGAAATCCTGCTGCTGGCCACATGAAAGTTAGGCTGCAGGCCAAGGGGAAGCCAGACTGTGGACCATGAGGAAGCAAAAGCATAGCAAAAGCAGGGCGTCAAGCCAGGAAAAAAAAAGAAAAAGAAAAAGAAAAGAAAGAAAGAAATCAGGAATTGTGCCAGATGGTCAAAGGTTTGTGGGTCACAGAGAAATCAGGCCACAGAGGAGAAGGAACTCAGGCTTCAGACCAGACCAACGTCACCTGTGATTCAGAAGGAAGGGAGCTGCACCTCCTAGTGAAACCAGGTTGTGGGCCCAGGCCGCACCCCCAGCCCTCCCTCCGCCCCCGGCGGCCCAGCCTCACTTGAGCTGCTGGGTAATGAGCTCCTCGTCGTTGAGATAGCGCAGCCGCTCCTCCTCCACCAGGGTGCGCTGCCGCTGCAGCGGGTCCTCCTGCCTTCGCGCAGCCTCCGACACGCGCATGCTCAGCTCCGCCTCTGTGCCTTTCAGCAGCGCGCGCAACGACTCCAGGTTCTGTAGCTGCGGGGCGCAGAGGGACCGATGGACCAGGGTGGGAGGGAATGGAGGTGCGCAGCAGGGGAAGGGCCGGGAGGAGGCGGGCAGAGGATAGCCGGAGGCTGGGCGGGCTCCACCGAAGCAGCAGCTGCTCGGCTGCGGCCGCGAGCAGCAGCGAAGGGGTGGGATGGTGGGAAACAGAGGCCCCGGGCTAAATTCTGGGGAAGAATAGAGGCAGGAGGAGAAAGGCATGGGGATAGTGGCGGGAGAAGTGCTAAATTGGAACATGCTGAGGGTGCGGCTGCGTGGCTGTGGCCGTGAGCAGGAGCGAAGGGCTATGATGGTGGGGTGGGGGGCGGAGGACGAGGTTACGTGCTGGGCAAATACAGAGACAGGAGAACGGGACGGGCATATTTGGGGGGCAAGAGGAAGCCCTATGTAGGACCGTGCCGACCGTGCGGCTGCATGGCTGTGGCTTCGATGAAAGACTCAAGCAGTGGGGTTTGATAGAGCTTCCGTGGCTGGGGCGAGAAGACTAACTTAACTCTCGAACCCAGTTCTAAGGCTGAGTTGGGGCAATGGCGGGGGTGGGTGAGATCTTATCCGTTGCCCAGATGGCAACTCTCTGCCCCCTCTCCAGCCTGTCTCTGTTCATTATTCTCACCTGACGGGCCCTGGGGCCCTCTGGAGGAGCGGGCACAGCGATGCCAGGCTCCTGACTGGTGGGACCATCTGCCAGACGGGGGAGGGCGGGGAAGACTGTGCGGACTCAGGAAGGGGTAGGGGAGAGGATCTGGGGCGGGGGGGCTTCCGCCCAAAGGAGGGGTGGGGGAGAATGCTGGGCAAGAAGGAATTGGGACTACCCTGAGGATACTGACTGGGGGAAAGGGCTCAGTGGGGGTGGACTGGGGCTCCAAGAGAACAGTGAGTTTTCAGGGAAAGGGTAAGGAGGGCGCAGTGAGGGGAGCAAGGGCGAGCGGTGGGAAGGGGTTGCGGCGTGAGTGGGAGGGTCGTGTCTGGGAGGGGCTTGAGGGGGCGGGGCACGGGGCGAGGCCCCGGAGCAGGCTGTACCTGGAGCTTTCGAAGTTGCTGAAGTTGGCTGCGCAGGTCACTGGTGCTGTTCTGTAGGCCACGCAGGTGCAGCTGCATTTGCAAACGACTGATGGCAGTGGGCTGCCCCGCAGGAGTGCTGCTGGCCGAGGGCGGGGGAGGGCCAGACACTGGGGTGGCCCCGCTGCTCCGGCTGCCTGACCCACAGGCTGCAGAGAGGGACCACGAGGATGGGAGAAAGGGAACAAACCTTGAGCCTGCAAGGGGTTTGGACAAGGTCTTTCCCACCCCGGATCCTTACAGTAGCTAGAGAAGCACGGGGCTCTGACTCCCTGCCCCAACTAATGGCTCAGCCCTTCTGCAGGGAGCAAAGCACCAGGGCAAAGGCATTTTGGGCTAAGATGACTGTTCATTGATCCACTGAAGCCCAGTGACATAGCTGATGGTTTAATTCCCACTTTACAGATTAGGAATCTGAGGCTTGGAGAGGGCAAGTACCTGTGGGGGAGGGGCAAAGGGTCACTCACGTGCTGACGGGGTTCCTGCTCCATTGGAGCCTTCAATCTTCTCGCTGTGGCACAGGGAAAAGATGGCCATCAGTGGGTCCGGGCTGACCCCAGACCATCAAAGCTTGGGTGAGACTTTAACAAAATCTCCTCCAGTCCCCTGATGTCAGGATGGAGTCCCAGAGAAGGAAAGGGGCTCATCCAGATTCACACACTGAGACACTGGCAGAGCTGGACCAGGCTTCTGCTGCCCACTTTTCCTTCCTCTTGCCTCAACCATAGGCCGTGGCACTAGTGTTGAGAGAAGAGTCTTACCTGGGGGTCTCAGGCTCCGAGCCTCGTAGTAGGGCACTCTGTACCAGGCCCGTGAGGCTGGCAATCTGCTTCTCCATGGCCTCCATGCGCTCTCTGGAAAGGATGGTGGCTTTGAGCAACCCTTCTCTGGGTATGGGGTCCCTCTTGCTGAGGGACCCCGTTCCTAAGGAATGCCTCCATTCCTAAGATTGATAATTAAAAGAAATACCATTCCCTCCCCAGCCACCAGCACAGACAATTCAGAGGGCCCCAATGCCAAAGGTTCAAGCCCACAGTCCCCCATCTAACATTGGGAAGGCCCCTTTCCATCTGACAGTCATTTCCTCCCTTGCCGGCCCCATCTCTCAATACTGGCTCTCTAATGGGCCCCACCTCAGGGAGGTGGGGCCCCTGCACATATACCTCTGCACATGTTTTCCCCCTTCCTGGCATGCCCTCCTCCCTACCTCCTCCTAGAAGCCATCCCAGAGTCCTCAACAGCTTTAAGGAGTCCCTCCTTCCACACCACCTGTCTACTCTCTCAAAGGAAGTGCAAGTATTTTTTTAATGTGTCATCCCCACTGAACAAGGCAGGAACCAGGCTTTCCCAACTTGGCATCCACAGTGCCCAGTTCAGTGCCTGGCACACAAGCCACAGGAGAGCTGTGTGAATGTGAATTGCTTCTCCATATCTCTGCATCACTGCCCGCGGACAGAAGGGGATAGGTCAATGCTCTGGTTACCTCCTCCAGCCCTGTATCCTTAGGTTGGGGCTGAATAACAGGCAAGCGTTCCCCAGCTTGGAGGCTACCTAATGGAATGTGCCTCTCTCCCCATTCCTATTTCTTACCAGCACCCCCTCCCCAGTGGACTTCAGCTGACTGTGTGCTGGACAGCTCTCATGGCTGCAAACTCTGAGCAGGAAAGGCTTGGAGGGCTGGTTCAGCCTCAATTTTAGTTGGGGGAACTGAGGTTTAGGGATCCGATGTACACCCAGGTCTCCAGAGGCCTTGTCTGGGGCCCTTTCATCCAACCCCTCCAGGTCTTGCAGAAGGAAGGAAAATGGCATGTCTGTCTCTCCAGTGTCTTCCCTGTCATATCCAAATTATTCCAGTGAACTCTCAAGGCTACTCTGGGTCTACAAAGGACTCTGGGGTCTCACAGTCCAGGACGCAACCCTGCCACAGACCGAATGTGTTCCCTCTCCCCACCCCCAACAGCCCTGAGGCCTCGCGAGCGTCCCGCACCTGGTCTCCGTGTCCTTGGCTGGCACCGGCGGCCCAAATCCAACCAGCGGGCGCTCCCCAGGCCCGGGGAAGAGCTCGGGAGGCGGGGCTCCGGCCGTTGAGGAGCCCCCCGCGCTGCGGGTCTTGCCTCCGGGGCTCTCCGCGAAGACCGACGAAGAACCTGAGTCTTTGCGGAAAGACTGGCGCACCGGCGAGCCGCGGCTGGGCGGCCCCGAGTAGGGACTGTGCGGCGGCTGGGGGCCTCCGGGGGGCGCCGCCACGTCGGCCAGCTTCTGAGGCGATGAGGGCGGTAGGCGGAAGCCATAGCCGTCGCCGTAGAGCGGGCCACCGCCCGCCGCCTTGTACAGCGAGTCCTCCAGGTCGGACTGCAGCGCGGCGGCCGAATAGGTGCTGAGCGAGCGCACGGAGCCGCGCTTGTAGAGGCCGCTGGCGCCCGGGTAGGCGAACGGGTCGCCGGCTGCCGCGGCCAGGCTCAGGCGGCCCTCGTGGAGCAGCCCGTAGGGGTCGGCGTAGAGCCCCTCACCCTTCACCAGCACCATGCCGCCCGCCTTGCCCGCCAGGTCCTCGTCTGGCTTCACGTCGCGCCGCTCCAGGATGGCGCTGGGGCTGGGACTGACGCCCTGGGCGGCGGGGGCGCCCCCGAGCCGTTCGGCCGCGTGATGCACCGGGCTGCCAGCGTAGGAGGGCGGGCGTCCCCCGGCGTAGGAGAGGCGCGAGCGCGACGGCGAGCCCGACTGCAGCCCCGAGGGCAGCCCCGAGGGCAGCCCGGACGGCAGCCCGGACGGCAGCCCCGGGGGCGGAGAGCTGGACGCCAGGTGCGGCGCCGGCGACAGGTTGTTGAGACGCCGTGTGGGCGACGACTCCCTCGAGGCATACACCATCTCCCTCTGTGCAGAAGACAGTCCCAGAACCTCACAGGGTTGGTCACAAAGGGGAATCCCTTGCCCCTTGCTTAAGGAGACAACATCTCCCCCCTGACGCTTAGGAAGTCCCTTCTGTTCTCCGCCTTCCCTCCCTCTTGCTGCATTTGGGCCCCTTTCCCATCGGGGGTCCCCGCATGGAGGAAGTGGCGGATGGAGAGGCACTAGAGGGGCAACCCCCAGCCCACTCTGTGGTGAGGGTTGGGGAAGCAAGAAGGGAAGCAGTGGTCCCTGATAGAGGCCCCCTAGACTATCTGGAGGCCTGCTGGGGAAATCCTGGATGCAGAGGAGGGGATCATGGCAGATGAGGGGAGGGACCCCTCCATGACCTCACAGTTAGTGGAAGCTACTCTCTGCTTCAGCCTCTCTTCCCTTCCCCAAAAGCTGCCCTTGATCCCTGGTGACAAGTAACTAGACTCTGTGCACCCGGACCCCATCTGCCCAGCCTCCCCAATCCCCTGGGGATCCCCAGCCATACCCGGAGGTCCCCGTTGGTAAGGTGTGAGCCAGGAAAAGCTGCGTATAATGGCTCCTTCCTATAGATCTTGATAATACTTCGGTCCTGGATGTCCCTGCGGGAGAAGGGGAAGGCGCAATGGGTCACCATCCCTCAGCCCTGCCATAAGGAGGGGTAGCTACTCCAGGAAGAGGGAAGAGGGGTGGCAAGAGGGGCCCCTGGCCTCTTCCTAACTTCTTGCTCAGTGCCTCAGACTGCCTGCCACCAACACACACAACAGCCTCCACCCCGCCCACCTCCTCGGCCTCACGCACCATTGTCAGGTTAGCTCAAGCCAAAACGAGCTAAGCAGGGGTGGATAATTTTGAGGGGAGAGGGTAAGATGATCTAGGAAGGAGAGAGGAAGGGCTGAGGTTGGGTCAAGAGGAAGCTGGGGAGGGAAAGGCCTGGGGAATCGAGCCCCCCCCCCTTCAGAGGAGGAGCCTGGGGAAGCCCACCCATCCCCCGGGGCCACGCCCACCGGACGTCCTCCAGCTCGTAGAAGACGTTGCGAGCTTCGTCTTTGATGAGGATGGCGGTGTTGGGCGACTTAAGCATGCCCATGGTGAGCTTCTGCGGGAACATGTGCGCGATGAGCGCGTGCAGCGTGTCCAGGCTGCTGACCTCGTGCGTGATGTGCACGCGCCGAGTCTCCTCCCCGAACTGCAGAAACAGCACCCCTGCGAAGGAGACGCCGCCCTCTCTGTCAGAGCTGCTGCCACCACCACCACGGCCACCGCCGCCACCACCACCGCCACCACGGCCACCACGCCGGCTGGGAGATTGAGGGGGACCTTCGGGAGCCGTGCTGGTCCTGCAGAGGCAGGGTCTGAGGCCAGAGGCGCCCCCCGAGTGCAGGTGCACCCAGGCACCCCTCATGCTGCCGTCCTCTCAAGGCACCTCCTCGACCCCAGGCAGGTAGGAGCCTGGATGAGGAAACGAAATTGGGGGCAGGAGCAGGTGCACCAGAAACTGAGAGGGAGCTGTCGCTGAGGGGAAGAGAGGTGAGCAAGAGGGGAATGAAGGAAGAGGGGGCCGGTGAATGGAGATGAAGGAGAGAGAAGACAGGGAGAACAAGGGATAGAGCAAGGGATAGGGCAGGTGGTGCCAAGGGAGGGGAGGGGTGGGAGAGAGGAGGGCTAGGAAGAGAAGCTGAGGAGGGAGAGGCCCCAAGCAGAGGAGACTGCTGGGGGGCAGGGAGGTGCAAATGTGGCGAAGGGAGCCAGGGGCTTGGTTGAGGAGAGATGGAATGGTGAAGGGGGTGAAGAGGGTTTCAGAGTGAGCAGAGCAGAGGGAGGAGCCAGTGGCCAGGAGGAGGGTGGACTGGGCGAGTAGTACCTGGTGAGCGCAGCTTGGTCTGGCTGGCAGAGCGGGAGAGGGGCAGGCTCTGTCGGAAGCGGTTCATCCTACTGAAGCCCAGGGGCAGCTCCGCCTCGGACATGGTCTCCAGCGACTCAGCCGAGGCGTATGACAGCTTGGCTGCCTGGTCTGCCAGCCCGGGCTGGGCTCCCTGAGTGTGGCGTGAGCTGCGGGTCTGCAGGGGCAGGGCAGGATGACAGGAATCAAACATGAGCCCCTTTTGCTCTGCCCATTGCCTCTATCCGGGCCCAGGGAGCCCCTGCCAGCCAGCTACACACACACACACACACACACACCAGTCTCCTGGATTCCAGACTCGCTGTGTGGCTACAGGAGAGTTCCCCAACCACTTAGGGCCTTGGCCTCCCTAGGACACCCAGCAGGTGAGGAGTGGGCAAAGGACTCAGGCACCCTGGGAAGCCAGACAAGAAACCATCTGAGCGGGAGCCAGGGCACGCCTGCTATTTTAAGCTTCCAAAGAACAACAACACAAATTTGTCACTGAGGTGAGCAGCAGAATCATTGAGCAAATTGGGGCATTAGTTCCAGACATTAATTAAGCGGCGGGTTTGTGAGCGGCGAATTTATCCTTCGTGGAGTTCAGAGAGTCGGCTGGGGGCAGGAAGCAGGGTCCAGGGAGGAAGCAAAAAGAATGAGGGGTCCCAGGATCCCAACTCTGGGAGGTATGGGCCCTCAAAGAGGGGCACAATGTCCTTGACTTAGGCTGACTGGGAGAACCATCCCAAAGCTAGCTCTACTCTGGTTTCAAACAGACTCTGCCTACTACATGCAATGCACATGCTAAGCCTAGTGTGGTCCCCATGAGCACATGGCATGTGTGTCCGGCCTCAGCCCCTCCCTGCAAGAGGCACATGCTGCCACACAGCCAACTGGCCTGGCTTGCCTTCTAGAAAGGCCTCCCTCAATACCCCACATGGCAGCCCCTTATCCTGAAGCTACAGCTGAGGGTGCTATCCGGCTGGGGCTAGGGAAGGGTGGTTACCCAGTGACTGTCCCCTGTCCCGGGGACAGCTTGATCACTCTCCCCTTGAGGGGAGGGGTCGCCATGATTCCCGTTACACTTTAAGAGCCTACACTTGGCTGAAGGCTGGGCTGTCACTCAGGGCCACAGCTCCTGCCATTCTGCCCCAGCCTCTTCCCTTAAACCTGGGTGCTGTCAGAAACTCTATTATTTAAGGGAGAAGATAATAAGTCAGATCTATGTTATGTATATTCCATGTTCCATACACTAAATACACATATGTATCATATTTATATATATTATCAAGGAAAAATTCATGTTGTCCAATTGTACTTTTCTATAAGTTGTCCATTTTTAACAACAACAAATCATGGAAAGCCATTAACATTGGTTAAGTTGGGGTTGAGACAAAGCTTTCTCTTTTATACATTTGTCTGCTGGGTGAATTTTGCACGATCAGAATATATCACTTTTGTAATTAAAAAAAGTAAAAGTATCTCTAAAAAGGAATCATTTATTCTCCTCAGCTCCCTCCTTCCCCCATCCTGATTAGCCCCTAATTAATCTCCATCTTCATATTAACTTAATTTAATATTCCAATTGGATTAGCACTCTGGAAAAGAGAGAGCATCTTCCTCTGATGGGCCATGTGCCCAGCTGTGCCCGAGGTGGCCTGGAGGCCTTGGGGAGGTTGAAGGTCAGATTTGGAGCCCTCAGGGGGCATCCAGTCTGAAGCCCAATGCCTTGGCCAGTGAGTGGGTATGGGTCTGTGGAGGAGGGAGGCAGCGTGGGAACTAAGCCCACATGGGGGGGCGCATATACCCAGACTTTGTACCCTGTGACTCAGCACTAGGCTGATCACCAGTGCCAGCCTGTGCCCCTTTCTATCACCTTCAGCCCCAAAGCAGTGTGGGGAACCAGGTCTGTCTGGCGGCCATGAGGTTGCCAGGCAACTGGAAGGCCAGTGGCTGCCAGGATGTAATGGGGGAGGGCCTACAGAATTCAGGCAGAATGAGGCAGCTGGCAGGGATGAAGAGTAAAGGGTAGCCACAGTGCCTGGGGACACAGGTGAGGTGCCAGTAAGAAGATGGAACAGGGGCCAGAATGAAGTGGGGGTTCTTAGGGGTGGCTGACTGCAGAGAAGGCAGATGCCTGTCGAGGCAACCCTTGGGAGAAGAGATAGCCACGTTCCCTTGCCCTGCTAGCGTCCATCTCCATCTTGGCCCTAGGTACACCTTTCCGTTCTCACAGCCCTTGCGGAAAACCCTCTTGAGAAGAGAGAAAGCCCATTAGCACTTCTCTCTGGTCCTGGGCTGAGTCAAGAGGGCAGAAAAAAAGTGAGACATCCAGGACTTCCTATCTACGAGGGAGATGGCAAGAGAATAACACGGTAACTCAAGCAGCGCCGTCCAAAGATAGGAAGGGGCTGCTGTGGGAGGCAGTGTGCGCCTGTCACTGGAGGTATTCCAGCAAGGAGCCGATGACTCCTGATCAGGGATCCGGCAGAGGGAACCCTGAGTGGGGACGGTCAGACTAGGATCCAAGGTCTCCAAAGGCTGTCCACAGACTGGGGCAGGGTCACTTGGGAGCTTTTAAAAGCATTCTTTCCAGGACCCCACATTCACTGAATCCAAATCTCTGGAGTTCCGGATTTTTGACAAGTTCCCAAGGTGATTCTGATTTGGGAAGCCAGTCAGCTTCTGTGATTCTAAGAGCTACCATGGAAGGCTTGCCAGGAGCCAGGCACTGTGATTAGGACGTGCAGTATCTCATCTCTTCTAGCTTTACACCTATGCTATGATGCCGATGTTGTTGTTCCGTTTTACAGAGGAGAAACTGAGGCCCAGGGGATTATGTAAGTTGCCTCCGGTCACTCAGCTAGTTTAGTAACAGACTGGAATACACCACCAGGCTCTTGGGCCCATGCATTAAACCATTACATTCTACCGCTTCCTCCAAAAAAGTTGTGTGTCTCACATGTGTCTATGACTCCATGATTTCTCTGATTCAAGGACTTCTCTCTGGGAGTGTGCATGCAAACAAGATGCTCAGAATGAGATGACTGTCCCTGTCATGAGTCCCTGTCATGGTGCCTGGGACTTGGAGACTCTGGGACACAAGTGGCAGCCTAACTTGGTTGGGTTCTGGGCCTGGCTGCCAAGAGAGGCAGAGGAGGCACCCAGGGCTCAGCAGGATGCCCCCGGGAGGGGACAGAGAGCTCTCCAGCTGTGGATAATCCAAACTGTCCAGGAGAGGCAGGAAGGCACTTGTCTCTGAGCTTAACCCTCCACTTGGGCAACAGGCTTGGGGTGCAGAGCTGTGACTCTCTTGCCTGGCACTGACCACCTCCCCAAAGTGCCAAGTAGGAAAGGGATGAGGGGCTCATCATAGACCTAAGGCCTCCCTGGAAGATGAAAGCCGAGTCCAGAGAAGCGGGCTCTTAAGATCACAGGATCCAGGTCCCTGCCTCGGAGCCAGCAGTGTCTCCAGGCGGGGGTTAATGTCAGGCAGCCTCTCTCATTCCAAAATGCCCCTCCCAGCCTGGGAAAGCCTAAGCACCCCCAGCCTAGATCCCCAGCAGGGGTGGCCCAAACTCCCACTCTGGATCCATGAGCCCCTGGCAGGCGAACCCAGACTCTCTCAAAGCAGCAGCCACAGCCTGCAGCCCCAAAGCCCACCGCCCACACCAGAAGGTCCCGTGCAGATGCACACCCCTGTGCAAAGCATGTGCAGGGAGGGCCAGGGGCAGGAGAGCACATGCAGTTGTCATGGAAGCAGAGAAGCACACGCACTGACCTTGAAACTCCAGTAGTTTGGCTGCTGATGGAAATAAGAGAAGAGATGGTTATGCGAGGGTGGGGAGGGGAGAGTAGGGGTGGAGGTGGGATAGAGACCCTTTGAGCTTAGCACTTAGCTCTGGGACGAGGGCCCTCTGCCCTCCCAGGAACAGGAAGGAAGCAGTGCCTGGTACATCCCATTCCCTACTGAGACCCAGGCCAGCCCTGAGCAGGCTCCAGGCTGCCTGGTGGGGACAAGGGAGAACCATTCCAGATGTTCACAAGCTACGCCTTCTAGTCACGGTAACTCAGAGAGTTACAGGTAGAAAAGGCACCGATGACCATGATATAGAGAACCCATGAGACACGAGCAGAGATGAATCAGAGCTGCGGGGTCAAAGAAATGGCATCTGGTTGTGACTGGCCAGTGGAAACTTCCTGGAAGAGGCGACATTTGAGTTGGGTCTCGAAAAATGAGCAGCTGGAGATTGGGAGGAAAGGCATGCTGAGCAGAGGGGACAGTACAGGCAAGTGCCCAGGGGCAGGCAAGCAGAGAGCGTGTTGAGGGTATAGTCACTAGTCCAGTCTGGCTGGGGGTGTAAGGCCTGGGAAAGTAGGAGATTGGGCTGCAAAGGGGCTGGGGCCGGCTGGGTGGGTTTCAGTTTAGACTTCACTAGGCGAACAGGCAGAAAGTGAGTGAAGCACCGTGGGGTCAGAACTGGAGTCCGGGGCGGGGGGGGGGGGGG